CTACTGGAGAAATGTGCTCATTCACTCAAATCCTCCCGCTCCTCTCTCCAATGGGATTAGCTGCTGTTTCAGTGAAGAGTGTTTAGATTACCCGACAGGGGAAGCCAGGCTCTGTGAATTTAGTCAGGGAGCTTGACTTTCCGCCTCCTGGGAAGAACTTTGCACTCACTGATATCGCTGTTGCTGGGCTGGGAAAACAGAATACCTCCCAAAGAATGGCAGGCATTGTTCTGATGTCGTAATTAATATCCTTGCAAGTAAATACAAGGTCTCACAGCTCAGAGGCACTCTGCACATGCTCAGAGGCATTGTTTCCTTGTGTTGTGGCAGTTGTGCGACGTATCCTTTGCCATGGACAAGTAGGACTTGCTCTGCCATGCCCTGAAGGAGCCAATTGCTCTCCACCCCTGTTTTTGTATTTATTATCCCACCAGGTGAAGTGACTGATGTCACCCGACAAAGAAACTCTGTACGAGGTCTGAGGCACTGTTTCCTCATGTTGTGGTAGCTGTGACTCCATGTGGCAAAATCAGACAAACAGCTGTTTTTGTTGGTAGGTCAACGGTAAACAGCTACCCTGCATTACCATTTTTGTTGCCCCAGTTAACAGAAAATGCCCCCATGAGACAAAATCTGATGAGGCTTTTCCTGATACTTCACCAGAAATCTACAGTGATTTGGGCTAGTTACTCTTTGCAGCAGTTGTAACCAATCTTTTTGGAACGCGTTAGCAAGGTCAAGGCCAAAATATGAGAAAGTGCTCTTGGTTGACCATATGCAGCCATTCTGTGCTCAATGTTGTTTTCTTTACTAAGCTGAAGAGCAGAACGAAGTGAAGAAAAATCAGGCAAGAAGACAGACCTAACTCTCAAAACCAAGCTTATGGGCATTCCTTCTCTGTGTCCAAGTGTTTCTCTGCCAATTATGGCATGCATGTTGAAGTCTAGCTGCTCATGCCTTGGTTTACAGGAACATTTGAAACAAGTAGTTTCTCCTGCAGCAGATCAGATTCACTAGTGGCCCCAATGGGTGTGGAATAGGATATTGCCAGTCTTCATAGTTTGCTGATTGGATCAAGCCATATATAAAGCACCTAGGTTTGCCAGGCTGCAACCAGCAACCCCTGGGAACATTTAGGGAGCGGAGACTGGCATGCTAGTGTCATATCAGCATGCTGAAGTCACTTCCGATGAAAACCAGAAGTGCCATATGGGCTACTCCAGGATTTGCAAAACTCCAATGTTCCAATGACTTCCAGTCTTTCCCAGAAGTGATGTCATTGTGACAGTATTGTGTCAGTGTGCCTCCAGTCCCCTCCCCCTTTCTCCCTGCCAGTGCTTCAGGCTCTGGTGGGAAACAAATCAAGTTGCAACCCTAAAAGCACCTCTCTGGTCACACATGATCTCATCTCATAGTAAACACATCTACAATCCATGTACAGTGTACACTTGCTTTTCTTTATATGTGTGTTGAGTAATTCTCACGTTATTCAGCACATATACAGCTGACTGTGATTTACACCAGACAATTATGCAGATACTAGTCCCCGATTTCAACTGTAGAGTGAACATGTGTTGGCTTTTTCTTACAAAGGAATGTATGCACGTACATGCAGGATGTGTGTACATGCACTGTAACAGATGAACAGGGCTATAGCCTACATTGTATGAGCTGCAGAATTATCCTGCTGCAGAGGTAAATGTGGATTTCATCGTCTTTGATCCCATCCACGCCTACAATTCTATTATCAGTACAGCAGTGAAAAGGGGCAACCCATAGATGGTTCTGCAGTCTCAAAAAATTCCCTAGGTAGGCAACAAAAATGGTGTGTACATTTGCTTATCCCACAAACCCGGCACACCTGAGTATGCTGAGCACACTACAGTGACCACAGAATTTATAGGGCAAGCAGAGAATCAGATTGGGGGGAGGGCTGGAAATTAACCTGATCAAGTCCCTCTAGCAATTTGTAGTCCCCTGGGGAGGGGGGGGAGGAGATTGTTAACACAGCATGAACATCTTGAGGCTCATGTGAATAACATTATTCCAAAGGGCTCGACATCTAATTTTCAGTTCAGTGGATACAGCTTTTGATGAGAGCACCAGGATTGTCCTGTGGGGTTACACTAAAGATCGTTTTTGCCTGGCAACAGTCGATGAACCTGTTGTGTCCTCTCCAGTTTTTTGGGAAAGCTTTTTTCTTCTCTTAAATGACAACTTTACTCAGTCTTTCCCAAGGAATCTATTAGTCTAAGACTTTCAGCCTTTCTTAATGCCAGCATTCTCAACTGTGTGTGTGTGCGTGTGCGCTTTGCTATATATCACTCCAGTTCCCATTTTTATTTAATTTGATTGTTATAAAACTGCAAACATGGCACTCTACTGGTCAGTTGTTACTGCACTCCTCACTAGCCCGGCCGTGGATTTCAGAAGAGAAATGATCGCCAGCGTTCTCAAATTTTACCTTTCAAAGATGCAGACTTTCATTTCAGCTTTGATCAGGATGACACTAGCCTTAAGGGTCTCTAAGTGAAGATATGTAGCTCCTTTTCTTGTTTATCAGGAACAAAATCACCATGTCTCATTTCCAGAAACCTCCCCCATCATATTCTCTTATCTCTGAACAAGATCTCCAGTTTCTGCATCCTGAACTTCAACTCTACCCAACCCATCTGCTGTGACCCAGGGACCTACTTTCCTGGTCTTTTGCTTTATCCTTGCATCCTTTCTCCTCTGACACGGCCATCTGCTACATCCCTCCATCCTTAATCCTCTTCCATTATACCTCTTCCACTATGTTATCATCTCTTACTTGCTGCATCCTGACATTTCTCATCATGCTCCGTATGTCACCAAGTAATCTGCCTCACTCTCCATCTGTGCTAGCTCTACAGCTGTAGTCTTTCCCACGGAGGCTTTCCTTGGAGGCTGTGTACGTATGTACGGCTTAATCTTATCTTCATAATAATCCAGAAGACTATATAGCCCAACCCACCTTCTGTTAGGTGAGGCCATCAACACCCCAAATCCTCAGTGAGTCCAGTGTGAGCTATGGGGAATTCCCTTTCCTCTTCAGTTCCAAAGACCGCATAAGCCCCAGTGCCCCACAATTGAAGGCATCTTCACCCATCATTTAATAAAGCAAAGAGATCATGGAAAAGCTATTGCTTTAGCCATAGCTGGCTAATGAAGGGATGTAGAACATAGGAAGATACAGGAGAAGGGGGACTACAAGTGGGGGGGATTAGAGTGCACATGTTTAGATGTGTGGTTGTGGACCGATTAGGAGTGTCCATCACAGGTATGGGATGCTAAAATCAGTGTTTGTTGATGGCCAGGTCAGGTGCTTTAAATGACCCAGGGGAGACTACAACTCCCATAAGGCTGTACAGAAATATGCACGTGCAAAATGACATTGGTGACATATTTCCAGACAAAAGCCAAATTGTAAGACTTTTTTAAAAACACACGGTGCTTATTCATAATCACTGGGTGACTAACTGATCTGCTTGCTCTTTATTTAAATCATTGACTGCTGAGTGCCACATAGTGACAACAGGCCTGTATGTGAGGGGGTGGAACTAGGGCAGCCATTGAGCTGTGTGAGAGTGTGCATGCATAAGAACATAAGAAGAGCCCTGCTAGATCAGACCAGTGAGGGTCCATCTAGTCCAGCATCCTGTCTCACACAGTGGCCAACCAGTTCCTCTGGATGGCCAACAACAGGGCGTAGAGACTGAGGACATCCCCTGATGTTGCCTCCTGCCTCTGGGACTCAGAAGCTTAGTGTCTCTGAATGTGGAGGTTCCCCTCAGTCACCATGGCTAGTAGCCACTGATAGGCCTATCCTCCAGGAATCTATCTAGTCCCCTTTTAAAAGCTGTTTGTTCCTGTGGCCATCACTACATCCTCTGGCAGCACATTCCACATTTTAATCACTCTCTGTGTACAGTAGTATTTCCTTTGTCCATTTTTTGAGCCTACTGTCCATTGGTTTCATTGGATGCCCTCAAGTTCTAGTATTTTGGGAGAGGGAGAAAAAGTTCTCTTTGTCAACTCTCTCCAACCCATGCCTAATTTTAGAAACCTCTATGATGTCCCCCCTTACTCGTCTCTTTTCTAAACTGAAAAGCCCTTCAGCCTTTCCTCGTACAGAAGGTGCTCCAAACCCGTAATCAACTTGGTCGCCCTCCTCTATACTTTTTCCAGCTCTACATGAAATGCTACTGATTGCACTATCTTCTACCATTTGGATATGCGGAAAGTAAACTGCTGAACAGGGGTGAGATACTCACAAACAACTGAACTGCTTGATGAAGAATGAGATTCCTGCTCGCAAACTAACCTAGTAGGTGTTTGATCCTTCTCTACTACCACAGTGGATCGTACAACTAGAACAGACTTAACACAGTGCCTACAGTATCAAGCAATAAGACATATGGGGAAAAATCTGTTGGATCTGCTGTTACTGAATGTATGGCCTTCCTTTGTTATCGACACAGCCACTAGCCGTCTCTATTGCTCAGCCCCGCAGTTCTACTAGTTAAAATTGCGCCTGTGATGAAATTGGCTCACAGTGTTTCTATACAGAAATAGCAGATGAGATTCCAGTTTCATCCATTTATGGAAGCATTAATGGTAGCTCTCTGGGATGTTTCTACCTGACAACCGCACAGCTCATACTATGACACCCTGCTGCGTCACCCAGGCAACTGTTAACTTGTTATTATCCTTTCCTAGATAGCTCAGCATCCACCTTGGTAGTGGGCTCCGTTCAAATTCTGTGCTCTTTCTTTTTCCAGGTCACTGGTACCAGCTACTTAATTATTCCAAATGAACGAACTGTCTGAAGGAACCCTTTAGCCAATTCAATCTAGCAGTGGTCACACTGTCAAAACCTGGATGATTTCAGACTAAGTCTGGCCTGAAGTTTTTGGAAGAGCAAGGGAACTATATCTAGCCATGAGTTTGACTATCTCTTGCTTTTGTTTCCATCACAGGAACTACTGTGCATACGTGGTGCAGAGGAACGTGACGTGCACCCTTCAGGATGGAGCAGAGAGCTATGTGAAGGCTGAATATCACAAATGCAGCTGGGGACCAAAATGTCCTGGAAAAGTCCTGTAAGTACATGCTTGGATGCAGCTGTAGCATGGTGAAGACTGCAAAAGACTGTTGACATCTAGTTGCCTCTGTGATACCTAGAGGATTATCGATTATACAAAGTAAACACAAAGGTCCCATTAGTAGGATAGACCTCTCCCACCCCATTCTCCTATGAAATCTTCTCTCCTGACGTCTTTACCTACCCCACCACTTTACATACTATTGGCTGACCTTCTGTGATGTCACAGTGGGCTTTGTGCCACCGTCTTTCTTGCTGCCATTGCTTTAGTTTACTTGATGACAAAGAAAGGCCAAACAATGTAGGGTTGGGGATTAATAGTTCAAGCCTGAGCAGAGTCATACCCTTCTTGGGCCATTGACTTCAATGGATTTAGAAGAGTGTAACTCTGCTTAGGACTGCATTCTTAAGGGCTATGGGAGAGTTGGGAGAGGAGTGGAATTCTAAGCCCTGTGAATAACCTTCATTAAATTAAACATTGTATGTATTGCTTGTATACCATGAAGTTTACAGCTACAAGTCAATAGGTTGAGCCTCTTTGGAGCCTTATGATGGAAAGCAATTGAGTACAGAGAGAGACAGATGCTTATGGTATGTGATGCTTCACTTAGGGTGATGCAGGCAGCAGCTTCCCATGCTCCTGCTGAGAGTTCTGCTTTCCCACATCATATTTTTTAAGTGACATGCACGCTCTCATATATCGCAAGCATAGAAATGGGAGGGATTTCTATGCCTGCCTGCTTCCAGCACAGACCCACGAATGCCAAGAGTCTAAAAGCAACTCAACATAACCATGTATTTCTTGGAAGCTGACCCACACAGAGCATAAATCTTTCACATGCTATAGAGGCAGGAATTCCCCTATAAATTACCATTTAAATCAGTGGGGGGGAAATGCTTAATTTGGTTTTCATTGCAGTCATGGAGTTTATCCAGATGGTGGATCTCTGTGCTCCTGATTACCTACAGAAGCAGGAGAGTGGAAAGTATCCTGGGAGAAAGTAGATGACTTTCTTTCCAGGAGTGTCCCTGAGATCCAGCTGTATGGACAGCAGAGCCCATGCCAAACCCTGTTGGCCATATACATTACCAGGATTGGATCTGGAAGAGTGTTTCCATGGGTGGAAAGATATCTGTCTGTGGAGTGTGGCTTTCTCCCCCCTCCCCCCATACCCCTGCTGCAGTCCAAAATGCTACTCCTGGGCATCCAACCCACATAGGTTGGTGCACCTCACACTTCTAGCCTAGAGCTGAAACTAGAGTTTTTGTCAAACTTCAAACTCCATTGACACGTGAAATACTGAAGTTCACCTTGATCTAGTTGCCTGTACTTGGAATCACCAAGAGTGATCCATCTCATGATTTCTCCAAGTTGTCTGCAACATGACTGTGTGTTATTCGCCTGTATTTCAATTACTGTTATATTATTTTGTTTAAAAGCCTATGTGCTATGTGGGCTTCCTTGAATAAATGAACGCTTGTGTGTTACTTGAAGTACTTTTTCAGGCAATGCATAATTAATTTGTAACACTCACTCTTGTGGGATGCAGGGATGGCCACTGGTTTAGATGGCTTTAGAAATTGGATTTGTCGAATTCATGTCAAGGTTCAGCAATGGGTATCAAATCAAGGTGGATAAATGGGATCTCTGTTGTTTGGAAGCGGTACAAATCTGAGCACTTGTTGCTGTGGGGCGTCGTTTAGGGGAGGCTTTGGGCACTGCATTCCTCCTTGTGGACGTTCTAGGAAGAACAGAAGAAGATTATTTTTATACCCCACCTTTCACTACCCAAAGGAGTCTCCTCTGAGGAGTCTCCTCCTCTTACAATCTCCTTCCCTCCTCTCTCCACAACAGGCACCTTGTGATGTAGGTGGGGCTGAAAGAGTTCTGAGAGAACTGTGACTGGCCCAAGGTCACCCAGCAGGCTTCATGTGGAGGAGTGGGGGAATCAAATCCAGTTCTCCAGATCAGATTTTGCCACTCTTAACCACTACATCATGCTAAAAGCATCTGGTTGGCCACTCTGGGAAACAGGATGCTGGACTGATCCAAGTGGGCTCTTCTTAAGTTGCTTGCAGAGGCTAAACAGATACAGCTATAGTTTATGGCTGTGTGGGAGACAACCTTGAGTCTTCTGAGGGAAGAAAGGTGTGATATACAAAATAAATTTGACTCCAGGGTTCAAACTTTGATAAAATAGGACTGAATTTGTATTGTTAGGCAGTCTCTTGGTTAGATGGCATAGCATAGAAGAGCCAGTGTGGTGTAGTGTCTGACTAGAATCTGGGAGGCCTGGGTTCAGATTCTCCTCTGCCATGGAAGTTCATTGGCAGGCCCATAGCTACAGTGGGGCATTTTGATGCTCCGCCCCCTCACACATGAAGCATGCTCCACAACAGCTGCTGTCCCCTCTCCCTCCCCTCCTGTGACAGAAGAAGAAGAAGAAGAAGAAGAAGAAGAAGAAGAAGAAGAAGAAGAAGAAGAAGAAGAAGAAGAGATTGGATTTATACCCTGCCCTTCACTTGGAGTCATTAAAAGGGCCCTCCAGCTGATTGGCGGGAGCATGTGGCCCGCCGATCAGCTGGAGGGGCCTTTGGATCTTGCAGGAAGGGAAGGAGAGAGGCAGCCACATGCCTTCCCTGCACTCTAGCACCTTCCCTTTAAATGGTGTTTTTCAAATGGGGACTGCCCATGCCTGAACTCCAAGTGGTGAAATCGCCACTTGGAGTTCAGAGAAAGTGTGTGGCTGCCCCTCTCCCTCCCTTCTCCCCCTCCCCTGCAGCTCCACAAAATTTCCCCATGCCCCACCAACCCAACATTTCTGACTACAGGGCTGCTCATTGAGTGACCTTGGGCCCATCCCGCTCTCTTAGCCTAACCGGCCTCACAGGGTGAGGCTGAGCGGATGAAGTGGAGGAGAGGAGAATTATGCGATAAACCACTTGGGGTGCCCATTGAGGAGAAAAAGCAGGATGTGCGTTTTAAAATAAAGTAAGCCTGCATAGGATCTTCCAGTGAAACTGCAGTCCTTTCTGTGTTTACTCAGAAAGAAGCTCTGCTGATTTCAGTGAGGCTTCCTTCTGAGTCAACGTACACAGACTGGGCTTCCTTCTGAGTCCCACATCTGAAAATAAGCCCGAGTGCAACGATTGGGACGTAGTTCCAAATAAACATCCCAGTTTCATTTTCCTAATAAGCTATATATTTGCTGCAGCAAAGGGGCCGTTACCTGGGTCAGCTCAAGAAAATGACACTTTAAAGGCTGCATTATTGGACTGATCTGCCAATGTCCATCCCAAAGTAGGTGGCTTGGTGCTTGGGGGGGGGCAACAGTGGGAGGGCTTCTAGTGTCGTGACCCCACTGCTGGACCTCCTGATGGCACCTGGTATTTTTGGCCACTGTGTGACAGAGTGTTGGACTGGATGGGTCACTGGCCTGATCCAACATTGGCGTCTCTTATGTTTTTATCCTTAACTTGTTCCTGGTGGACAATACTAATTTCCTTTACAAACCCTCGCGCTTTGTAGTAGAAATAAAAAGGAAATAACTGTGTTTTTTAACGCAGCAGGAAGTGTGACACTGTTTCATTAGGCCTCGGCAAAGATAGTGGATTCCTTTCATCCAACCAGAGTTGGATGTTTCTCACCACATCCAGAAAGATTGCGTAGCCCTGTTCACATTAGAACTGAACACACAGATATCCCACGTGTACATATGTTTGTAACAAAAACCCAATATACGCTCACTTTAGAGATGAAACTGGGGACAGGTACTTGAATAAATGTGCAATTCCAGTAGAAAGATTGCGTAGCCCTGTTCACATTATAACTGCACACACAGATATCCCACGTGTACGTGTGTACATATGTTTGTAACAAAGACCCAATATACGCTCACTTTAGAAATGAAACTGGGGACAGGTACCTGAATAAATGTGCAATTCCAATCACTCATTCAGCTATGCATGTGTTGAATGAGAATTACAGAAGACACATATAAAGCAAACTCAAGTGTACACTGTATTCAGATTGTACATGTGTTCACTGTAACTTGTGAATAGGGCTTGTGTTATAACCAGTTATGCTAATCTTGAAGGTATACAATTGGGCCTTGCACAGAAGTGAGGAGGAGATTGGATATGTACCCCACCCTTTACTACCCAAAGGAGTCTCAGAGTTGCTTACAATCTCCTTTCCCTTTCCCTCCCCACAACAGACACCCTGTGAGGTAGATGGGGCTGAGAGAGCTCTCTCAAGAACTGCCCTTGAGAGAACAGCTCCAAAAGAACTTGTGACTGACCCAAGGTCACACCAGCAGCTGCATGTGGCAGAGTGGGGAATCAAACCCAGTTCTCCCAGATTAGAGTCCACACTCTTAACCACTACACCAAACTGGCTCATATGAACAAACTGACACATATGAACAAATTAAGCTGCCTTATACTGAATCAGACCATTGATCCATCAAGGTCAATATTGTCTACTCAGACTGGCAGCAGCTCTCCAGGGTCTCGGGGTCTTTCCCATCACCTCCTACTTGGTCCTTTCAGCCAGAGATGCTGCTGGTTGAACCTGGGACCTTTTGCATGGCTCCGCCACTGAGCCGCCACCTCCCCCATTCTTGTACTGCATGACCTTTTGATCCTAACTTTTTTTCTCTGTCCAAAGGATAATATATGTGATAGTTGAGAACAGGCCTGCCCCCTGCACTGGATGGAGCCAGCACTAGTCCATGAAAGGTTATTTGTTTAAGGTGCCATAAGACTCATTTTTATTTTCACTGCAACAGTCAAAGGCAGGGACCTCTCTGGGATTTGTTGTGCTGTGTAATGGAGAGAAATATGTAGTCAGTGCACAAGGAAGGTTGTTTTCCAAAAAACCACAGTTCTACAATAAAGAACTGCAGTCAAGCAGTGAGAAGAGGGACATTGCTCCCAGTACTGTGAAAAAGGTCAGGAAGGCTCCCAGTCTCCTGGCTTTCCACAAACTATGCAAAA